TGCAAATTTGTTCGCCCGCTGCAAAAATTGTGTGTCTCGGATGGTCGGGTGCATGGTTATTTCAAACACTGTTGAAAACTAAAATAAAGTCCATTACACATGACATGTGCTTGATTTATCCGTGATGTTATTGATAAATACAACAAACACATAAAACGAAATTTTATCTGACAACAACAAGTGAACCTGTCAACATCAAACAGAATCCAAACTTTGTTAAGTTCTAAGTTCCATGCCTTTTCAGTAGTATGCAATTAGTGAACTTCGATCCCGATCGAATGTGAATAGAAATCCGGTTTTTATGTACAGCTTCCGTCTTGAAACTACCGATTAACTGTCAACAGTCGTTCTTTTTATTATTTAGAGACTCCTTTACATTAAAATGCACGTGTCCAATCGGACAAGTGCCCAGCAATATTTACTTGTCCGTAATTTTTTTTCACTGGTACCGGACATGCGGACAAGCATTAATGTCGAGCCCTGGAGAACCCTAAATTTATCATCCATTAATAAAAAATACGACATTTCCGAAGCATGTGTATTGTATTTAAATGTATCTTACGATAAATAGATTCATACGATCAACAATAGACATAAATTGATATCGTTGTCATTTCTACTCTTAATGTATATGAAGTCCACAACAATAAAATATTTCATCTGCATTTTGTTAGGATTTGTTCATCGACATTCAACATTTGTCCCAGAAATCCCGCGAGATTTGTACATTTTCCGACTTTTTCACTGAAGAGCGCACTAAGAAGTATAACTCTTCAATAGTGGAAATAGAACGTATTAGAAGCTTACCACTTATCAATGTAAATGATAAATAAATGATCACTTTGCATTATGTTGAGGTTTGTACATTACCAGCATGGCCAGTGGACGACCTACTGCTTTGTTTATTTATTCTTAATTGTCAAAGCAAGAAATATTTTTTGGTCACCAGAGTAATGCTATGCAATATTACCGTTTAACCAGTTAACCTGAGTGAATCCCAATTTCATTGTTCACAATACAAATAAAGATATTTTTTTTGTGAATACTGGTTTGAGTTTGATATTCTGTGAAATATGTTACAAAAAGAGTTACCGGTACTTGCCCTTGTTCAATGGCAACAAACGACACAGAATTGATTAGCAAAAAGGGAAACTCCTATTTAAAACCACTTCAAGTTAAAGATGTATGTGACTTAATTGCAACAAGACTATTAAATATTCTTGTGGCATAACAAACTCAGCTAGTCACATGCTTCGGCACCACACGGCCAGGAAATAATGGTATGGACTGAAGGACACATGATATTTGCATTTCTGTTTTCATATTTAAAATAAAAAATAAGAGAAATAAATTGCAAAAATGAATTTGATTTAAATATTGTAATATATTGCAATAGAAAATTTAATGTTACAATGTATCATCATATAATTTTTCAGTCATGATACTCAGCACTACACCCAAGTCACTCAGATGACCTACTGCCATCTGTTTTTATGCCCCGCCATGAATATGGCCGGGGCATATAGTGTTTGTCATGTCCGTCTTCCATCCTTCTGTCCTTCCGTCTGTCCTTCCGTCACACTTTGCGTTTAGCTCTGTTCAAAGCTCAGTTTCAAAGAAAGTATCCAAGATATTTTTATCAAACTTCATATGCTGATAGATATTGATGAGAGCTATGCAACTGCATCAACATTTTTTGACCTTGACCTTTCCTTTGACCTTGACCTCACTTTTCTTAAATTAGTGTTTAGCTCAGTTTTAAAGATACCATTCAAGATAGTGTAATCAAACTTCATATGTTGATACATACTGATGTAAGCTATTCAACTGCATCAACATTTTTTGACCTTGACCTTTCTTTTGACCTTGACCTCACTTTTCTTAAATTAGTGTTTAGTACAGTTTTGAAGATACCATTCAAGAAAGTGTAATCGAACTTCAGATGTTGATACATACTGATGTAAGCTATTCAACTGCATCAACATTTTTTGACCTTGACCTTTCTTTTGACCTTGACCTCACTTTTCTTAAATTAGTGTTTTGCTCAGTTTTAATGAAACAATTCAAGATATTTTTAACAAACTTCATATGCTGATACGTACTGATAAGAGCTATTCAACTGCATCAACATTTTTTGACCTTGACCTTTCTTTGGCCTTGACCTCATTTTTCTTAAATTAGTGTTTTGCTCAGTTTTAATGAAACAATTCAAGATATTTTTAACAAACTTCATATGCTGATACATACTGATGAGAGCTATTCAACTGCATCAATATTTTTGACCTTGACCTTTCCTTTGACCTTGACCTCACTTTTCTTAAGAAGTTTTTAGCTCAGTTTTAAAGATACCATTCAAGATAGTGTTATCAAACTTCATATGCTGATACATACTGATGAGAGCTATGCAACTGCATCAACATTTTTTGACCTTGACCTTTCCTCTGACCTTGACCTCACTTTTCTTAAATTAGTGTCAAACTTCATATGCTGATACATACTGACAAGAGCTATTCAACTGCATCAATATTTTTTTACCATGACCTTTCCTTTGACCTTGACCTCACTTTTCTTAAATTAGTGTTTAGCTCAGTTTTAAAGAAACCATTCATAATATTTTTATCAAACTTCATATGCTAATACATACTGATGTAACCTTTTCCACTGCATCAACAATTTTTGACCTTGACCTTTCCTTTGACCTTGATCTCACTTTTCTTAAATTAGTGTCAAACTTCACATGCTGATACATACTGATGTAAGCTATTCAACTGCATCAATATTTTTTCACCTTGACCTTTCCTTTGACCTTGACCTCACTTTTCTCAATTTGTGTTAAAATGTTGCATTACTAATATACCCTTGGCGGGGCATTCATGTCCTATGGACATATTTCTAGTTGTACATTGAATTTTTTCATCTTCTTCTCATAAACTGCTGAGCCAATTTCAACCAATTTTGGCATAGAGCATTCTTGGGCAAAGGGGGACAAAGAATTTGAATGTCATTTATAAAATTATGAAATTCATGGCCCCAGGGTCAAAGGCACTGAAGTTTGGTGAGGCTCTATTGATCATATAGTGAAAATGCATTAATTCTTTGAAAACCTTCTTCTTTCCCTTTGTATATTCAGCAAACAATTAGTGCTTCGTTATGATGAAGAATTAAGAAATTCATGGCCCCTGAGTCAGGAGCTCTAGTGTTAGGGTAGGGCTCTATTGATTATATAGTGAAAATGCATTATATCTTTGAAAATCTCTATGCTTGCTATAAAGCAAACAAAGTGCATGATTATGATGAACAAAGGTGCCGCTTACAAAATTGTGAATTTCTTGACCCCTGGGTTGGAAGTTCTTGTGTTAGGGTAGGACTCTATTGATTATATAGTGGAAATGTAGTAATTCTTTTGAAAATCTCCTAATTAGCAAATAAACCAAGCCCATGGTTATACATCTATTGAGCGTGAGTACCTCTTCCAAAATTGTGAAAATCATGGCTTCTGGGTAAGAGGTTCTGGTGTTAGGATGGGGCTTGATCTATTGAAAATCATCTTCTCTGCTCTTGGGTATTTAGCAGAAAAACTATATTTTATTATTATGATGAGCAAGGGTGCTTCTATTAAAATTGTGAAATTTCTGGCCTCTGGGTCAAGGATTCTGGTGTAATGGCAAGGTTCCATAAATTATTGATTCTATAGTAAAATTCATTTTCTTTGAAAATCTGCTGTGCTTAGGGTTGTATTATACTCGGGTGACCGTTAAGGCCCTTGGACCTCTTGTTTAAAAAAAATTTGTTCTTTTAATTAAAAAGATAAAAAAAACACCTGAGGAAGACACAAGTATTATTTCAGCATTTTCTACAATGTAGGAGGTTTCTATATATTTTTAGAAATACCCTGAAATACCTGTGATATATTATCACGGTGGGTCATGGCGTAATATACCGATATACTGGTTATATTACATACTTCTATATATCAAGAATGTATTTTCAGAGTTGGCGAAAGAGGTAAAAAATCTATCGGACACAGTGTCCTACAGATGTCAAAAAATCACAAAAACTACAGGACATGCTAAACATTTGCCGGACCAAATGTAAAAAACAACAAAATATGTAAAACTGAATTTTAATTAAGATGCATCAATCAATTAACAATACTTGAATGGACTTTACCATAAATTTCGTACATGGCACACAAAACATCATATGCATATCGTCGTCATACCTTAGCCACTGTCTTTCATTAATCCACTGTGGATTAAACTTCTTACACTTTTTGTTAAAAATTCTTTTCTTTTGAGCTATCAGTATCAGCTTTCGGCACCGACTTTCTTTTTACCGACTCTGTCCATTTAATCGGCCACAGCATAGCACATGTTTACTTGCCGCCTCGATACCGGATATTAACGAACGTTACATAGAAACTAAAATTGAAAGTTCCGGTATCATATTATTTTGATTTCCCAAAATATTTAAATCGCCTGAATACTTTTAATATTTTCAATATTATCATCTAAATAAGTTTTGAAAAATAATGCATTATTTCATTTCTTTAATTATTTTACTATTGATTATCCTGAAAAATCTACCGGACACGGTGTCCGACGTGGTTCTAAAATCCATCGGACTTAGATAAAATTTACCGGAGATCGCCGGCGGGCCGGTGCCTTTCGCCAACTCTGTATTTTACTTGACTGTGTACTCTTTGATTGTTTCAAAGGTCTTTCCCATGTTGTTGGTATACCACCTATTATTTCCTTGAACTTAAATAGTCAATTTCAATTTGCGGAAGACATTTATTTAATTAAAAATTGTTGAGGTACTATTAAATATACACAAACTTGGATTGACTTTTAATTGAGATTTTTTACTAATGTTTCTATACTGTATGTTAAACCATGGTTAATCTGGAAAAGTAATGTTTGAACTTTTGTAATTATATGATAATTGTGCATTATTCTAAGACACTGAAGTTTATAAAGTTTCTTCATTTTGTTTGATAGAAACATTTCGAGCAGCTGCTGAGGCCAATTCTGATGACATACTGAAGCTGTACAACACTAAAGGCAACCTCATCAATATTTCTCCCAAGTTACCTGAGAACACTCCTGATACTCGCTACAAGTTAGAAGTGGTGGCTCTTCACTGTAATGGTAGGAATTGGTATTCTAACCTTTGCCATAATTTTGAAGCAGAGATTATACTTTATTATACACCCAACTGTGTATCGCTCAACTTTACTGTTGATTGCAATCATGTGATGGTGTGATCTGACTTACCAGATCACCCCACTGTGGTTTTCTGAATCCATATCACCCTTCTCTGAAACTGATGACATTGTACACAGTGTACATGACAGGTTTTTCATGTTTTTTCTTGTGTATAAAAAAATTTCCTTAAATAATTGTTTTTTTTTTTTTTGATTAAAAGTTGTATAATTGGTCCCAAAAGTCTTTCTATTATATTTTGCTAATTATGGAGTGGTATATAATAAAGTTATCATTATACCAGTAACTTGATCTGAAGAGCTGTATCATGTCTTGGTGACAGGCATGGATCACCATATCAATTGCTTCGCGATTTGTTTGATCTGATCATCTGTGCCTGTCAACTCAGTGATACAGCTCTTTGGATCAAGTTACTGTTATAATAATATATATTTTCACTAAGGTTGCTTTGTAACCAGAGAGTTTGTAACAAACCTGTACAGTGGTGATATATATGTCACCAAGTTGGAAGCATACCGGTTGTGTAAAAATGTAAAAGAATGGAATTAAATGATGATATCAATAAAAATTATTAGAAGATCCTGAGCCAAGGTCATTTAGAAAGTGATAAGAAATTTTAACTGATTTGAGGCAGTAAAGTTTTGGCTATTGGACCAACCAAATTTTACCCATATATTCTGAATCTAAATACCTGTAATGAACCAAAATTTATATTTTAAAGTCTTTCATGTTTTCTTTTTAGCTCACCTGAGCTGAAGGCTCAAGTGAGCTTTTCAGATCACATTTTGTCCGTCGTCCGTCTGTCCGTCCGTCTGTAAACTTTTCACATTTTTTACTTCTTCTCCAGAACCACTGGGCCAACTTCTACCAAACTTGCCACAAAGCATCCTTGGCTAAAGGGGATTCAAGTTTGTTCAAATGAAGGACCACACCCTCTTTCAAGGGGAGATAATTAAGAATTAGTGAAAATTTGGTGGTATCTTTTAAAAATCTTCTTCTCAAGAACCTTTGGGCTGTAAAAGTTGAAACTTATATGAGACCTTCATTACATAGTGTAGATTCAAGTTTGTTCAAATCATGACCCCCTGGGTAAGGTGGGGCCACAATGGGGAATCAAAGTTTTACATAGGAATATATAGGAATAAATCTTTAAAAATCTTCTCCTCAAGAACAACTAAGCCATGATAAGTCATATTGATAAGGAATCATCCTCAGGTAGTGTAGATTCAAGGTTGTTCAAATCATGACCCCCAGGGTAGGGTGGGGCCACAATGGGGAATCAAAGTTTAACATAGGAATATATAAAAAAAATCTTTAAAAATCTTCTTCTCAAGAACAACAAAGCCACAATTAATCATATTAATATGGAATCATCCTCAGGTAGTGTAGATTCAAGTTTGTTCAAATCATGACCCAGGGGTAGGGTGGGGCCACAATGGGGAATCAAAGTTTTACATAGAAATATGTGGGAAAAATCTTGAAATTGTTTTTCTCAAAAACAACAAAACCACAATTAGTCATATTGATATGGAATCATTCTCAGGTAGTGTAGATTCAAGTTTGTACAAATCATGCCCCCTGGGGGTAGGGTGGGGCCACAGTGGGGGATCATAGTTTTACATAGGAATATATAGGGGAAAAAACTTGAAAAATCTTCTCAGGAACAGCAAAGCCATGTTTTGTCATATTGATATGGAAGCATCTTCAGGTAGTGTAGATTCAAGTTTGTTCAAATCATAACCCCCAGGGGTAGGGTGGGGCCACAATGGGGAATCAAAGTTTTACATAGGAATATATAGAAAAAAAATCTTTAAAAATCTTCTTCTAAAGAACAACAAAGCCACAATTAGTCATATTGATATGGAATCATCCTCAGGTAGTGCAGATTCAAGTTTGTTCAAATCATAACCCCCAGGGGTAAGGTGGGGCCACAATGGGGAATCAAAGTTTTACATAGGAATATATAGAAAAAAATCTTTAAAAATCTTCTTCTCAAGAACAACAAAGCCACAATTAATCATATTAATATGGAATCATCCTCAGGTAGTGTAGATTCAAGTTTGTTCAAATCATGACCCAGGGGTAGGGTGGGGCCACAATGGGGAATCAAAGTTTTACATAGAAATATGTAGGGAAAATCTTGAAATTGTTTTTCTCAAAAACAACAAAGCCACAATTAGTCATATTGATATGGAATCATTCTCAGGTAGTGTAGATTCAAGTTTGTACAAATCATGTCCCCTGGGGGTAGGGTGGGGCCACAGTGGGGGATCATAGTTTTACATAGGAATATATAGGGGAAAAAACTTGAAAAATCTTCTCAGGAACAGCAAAGCCATGTTTTGTCATATTGATATGGAAGCATCTTCAGGTAGTGTAGATTCAAGTTTGTTCAAATCATAACCCCCAGGGGTAGGGTGGGGCCACAATGTGGGATCAAATTTTTACATAGGAATATATAGGAAAAAATCTTTTCAACAACAGAAAAGCCATGTCTAGTCATATTGATATGGAAGCATCCTCAGGTAGTGTAGATTCAAGTTTGTTCAAATGATGTGGGGGGGGGGGGGTAGGGAGGGTCCACAATGGGGGATCAAATTTTTAACAAGAGAGTATATAGGAAAAAAATCTTTAAAAATCTTCTGCTCAAGAACAGCAAAGCCGTTTGTTATACAGTGCGGACTCGTTATTACGGTGACGGTTTTATAAGATAGAACGCTTATTACGTTGTAATTTCAAAGCACAAAACCATTTTTTAACAAATCTATACAAAATAGAACTGTTTATTACGATGTCCTAAAATGCCGGGACTCGGTATTACGATGTAAAAATTCTGTCCAAATTTTTTTTCCACCCCGTGTTTATTCAGTGTTGGTCGACTGTAGACACTTAAGGAGACGCTAAATAAACATTGAAACACCTGTGCTCTGACAGAGTGTTAACTTGCAGGGCCGTTAGGTGATTAGTGACGCTTGACTGCACACACCTTGACTGTTCTAGCGAGGTCAGCAGAATTGGAGACGTGCCAAAGCCATTGTTAAACAATTAAACTGTTTATTTATAAATGTAGTCTCTAGTTTATCTATCTCTGTAAAGTTTATTTTATTTTTTTTTTTACTATGGTTAATAAGTAAATTAATTTATTAAATAAAGGGTAACATTTAATCGCATGCATGTATGTTAAATACGTAATGTGTAATTTCGTTTGCAGTTTAACAGAGGGAATTGACAGCTTGGGTATCAAACATAATTTTGGCAAAATTTGAACTCCACTAACGTTTTAACAGCTTGGATAGTGGCTTGGACTACTTCACAGGTGTCAGCAGAAATACAAATTGATAATTGCTGAACTGCTAATTGAACTCTGTTCAGTAATTTAAAAATTCAAATTTATTTTGACATTTAGCTTGTGTGTTCTCAAATCCTGTCCAGGAATATGCCCGTCACACTGCCCACTTTCATCAGCTGTTCACTGCAGCTCTAAGCTCATTTAACACCCAAAACCGCCCAGTGATGTATTGTTTGTTATTTATGTAGTAACGATACGAAGACATTGAAAATTTTACGAACGCATTATCTAGACAGAAACGAAAGTAAAAGGAAATGGCGGCAGATGAATGAAGAGTGCCGAAGTTTTTATAAAAAATGTCCACATTTCTTTTAAAATGAAGGAAATAAAAGAAATAGCATCATGAAAATATCTATTCAAGATAAGTTATTAATAAATTATATGTACATAACGTTTTAATGAAGAATTTGAACAGAAGAAGGAAACAAAAGGAGAAAAATACACCTCCTAATACAACAAGAAGCTTTCAAAACGATGTTTTACTGGATTTTATTGGGAACTTTTATTACGTTGCCCTCGGTATTACGATATTTTACCGTGACAAAATGAACATCGTAATAACGAGTCCGCACTGTATTGATATTGAAGCATCCTCAGGAAGTTCAAAATCTAACCCCCTCCTTTTAAACTTTTCAATACTGAAGTGATTTGTGCTTTTTCCTAGCCAATGTGCTCAGGTGAGCGATGTGGCCCATGGGCCTCTTGTTTTTTTTTAATAGTTTATAACTAAGAAAGGGCATTAGTAACTAGATTATAGAGTTTCTTATGTGTATTTGGATTTTCCATTGATATTCAATATATATTCCACACAATGTATCAGATTTCAATGGTCTCAATAACAGAGTAAATGTTGAGAGTATATCAATGAAGAATGGATAAATGAAGATGTCAAGCAGAAAACACACATGACAAATATATGTTAAAAAAGCTAGATCAGTTTTCCAGTTTTTGTTTTGTTTCTTTTTTTGAGGATGGTTTTGTTCTGATTTCAGACAATGTCTTGGCAACACAATTTGGGGCAGTGATCACTAACCTAGAATCAAGGTAAACAATATTACCTAGAGCTTGAGGAAATTGATAATGACTGGGAAAACAGATTAGACTAAACAATCCAAAATCAGCCTGATTCTGGCAGAGAAAACACTGCAACTTTAATGAATAGAATGTTAGACACAGTATGCTTTGATCTTCTTTGAAGGAGTGTAAGACACATATTAGGGCAAAACATTAATGTTAATATATGAAAAAAATGCAAATCTTCTGAACTATATCTGATGAAATCACAGGTACTTGTGGACAGGACCCCCCCCCCCCCCTTCCCCCCGATATTCAACCCCGAGGTTTGTTGGACATTTTTTTTCGCAAATTATATTTATTACACTTATTCATCATGTGTACCATAGGAAAAAATCATGAAAACCCCAAAATAATCATTCCACACAAAAATACCCCACTATACATTATAAGAGAGAAAGGTATGCCACTCCGGTCTGTTTACGTTGTACCCCCACTGGTCTTTCTGGGTTTATTAGATAGATTATTACGTCAGGTCAAAACTCTCTCGGACGTTATCATAATAAGTGATACATTCTTGGTGTACTTCCGTTGCGTTTACCTAAGGATTTTTCAAAGTACTGACTGCAGTGCTGTTTATGGATTAATTGTGGGATTCTTACGAGATGTAGAGTCGATCCGATAGCATGAACTATTTTAGACAGAAATATATGTAGAGACAGTGTGAACCGACATTTTAGGTTAAAATAAAATAAATACATGTCCACAAGTACCTGTGAATGAAATTCAGAATAAACTTCATATTATGTATACACGTATATGCATATTTATATTATTCCCCCCCCCACCCCCCACCCCTCAGAAAAAGCACCACACACAATCATGATAAAAACATCACCAAGTGCATTCCATATAGATTACATGGTTAATTGTAATAAACAACTGGGAGCACTGCAGATATAGGACTACAGTACAACACAAATTTAAAATAACTGACCGTGTTTTGGAAAAATTTAGCAAAAAATTGTGATATACAAAAAAAAAATATTGTTTTATGGTATATGTTCCTTGAACACTGTCAACACTGTAGTTATACACATATTCATCATTGCAATCAACTTGTAACTGTTGTAATTTAGATATAGCATTACTTTTTTCTTGCATTTTTCCACCTCTATTTTATTTTAGAATAGAAATGTTGGAGAAGAAAGTTTTTGTAGAAAATGGAGAAATTCCACCTGTGATAGGGGAACTGAAACATAATGTGGAAGACTTCAGAGAAAAACTAGAGGTAATTTTTTTTATATATTAATTACCTTTTTTTAATGTATGAGTAAGATTTATTTTTATGCTTGAATTTTTAGGTCACCTAAGTCAGGTGACCCATTGCTATCTGTTATTGTTGGTTATGCATCATGTGTTTTGGTCATTTTGAGCTTCTCTGGAACCACTGAACCAATTTCAACAAATTTTGGTATATAGCATCCATGGGTAGAGGTAGAGGGGAACACACAATTATGAATTTCAGGGGCCAGAGGGGAGGGGCCAAAACCATGAAAATTAAGGTGAATCTCTACATCTGTGAAGTTTAAGCTTTCAGCTCAAGTGAGCTTTTCTGATCACATTTTTTTCGCCGTCCTTCCATCCATCTGTAAACTTTTCACATTTTCGACTTCTCCAAAATCACTGGGCCAATTTCATCCAAACTTGCCACAAAGCATCCTTTGGTGAAGGGGATTCAAGTTTGTTCAATAAAGAACCACACCCTCTCTCCAGGGGATAATTAGAAATTGTGAAAATTTAGTGGTATCTTTTTATAATCTTTTTCTCATGAAACTCAGGACCAAAAAAGTAGAAACTTATGTGAAACCTTCTTTTCAAAGTGTAGATTCAAGTTTGTTCAAATCATGACCCCAAGGGGTAGGTTGGGGCGACAATGGGGGATCGAAGTTTTACAGGAATATTATCTTCTCAAAAACAGCATAGCCCAGAGTCTTATTGACATGGACATGATGGAAGCATCCTCAGGTAGTGTAGATTCAAATTTCTTTAAATCATGACTTTTTATATCATGTTATATGCTCATACATTTTGATGAGAGCTATTTAACTGCATCAACGTTTCTGACCTTAACCTTTCCTTTGACCTTGACTTCAAATTAACAATAATCTCTTTACCAAAATTGTAAAATTCATGCCACCCTGGCCCATGGTTAAGTTGGGGCTAAATTAGTCATATTTTGAAAGTAAATTTCATCTTTAAAAATCTTCATTACTCTTGGACATGAAGCAGGCAAACTGTTTGCATGATTATAATGTGCAGATAATCTTCAACAAAAAATTATAAAATTCACGTCTCCTAAGATCTTAAATTAGGCCCAAGGGTGGAGCAAAGTTGGTTTTATATTAATTTTTTTTAGCTCTTGAACTTCTAGGAAACAAACTGCATACATGTGATAATGGTTATAAACTAAATTTTTGTCATCTACATCCAGACCAATTCCAAGTGAGCTTAAAGAGGTCATTAGAACCTCACAAGAACCAGGTGACTGTGAAGGCTTTTTGGCTTCTTCTTTATTTTGAAGTACATACACAACTGTACATGAATTATTACTAGGTTGTAAGAAATCATAAGGTCACAAATTTAATGTTAATGAGAGTCACAGGACAACTGCTTATATTAAATTTTGATTGATATTGAGTGGTGTAGTTTGACCTACCATTGCTATGAGCACTGTAAAGAATTAGTCTTTGTACAGATTTTGATAGAAATGTTTTATTGTAGACATTATAATTTTTTTTCTTGTATAAATTTTAAGGGTGTTGACCATCTAAGTTGGTTAGGACTATTCAAAGACATTTCCTGTGGAACTTCATTGAAACCTTTCTGGGACAAGTCACAGTCAATAAAGAAGACAGATGAACACAACAGAATTGTGTATGAAAAATTCAAAAAAATCAGGTATGTCAACTTTGAATGCAACAAGATTGTAGATATCTCTGGAACTGGTCACAAGGACTATGCAGAGTTTCCGAAAACCATCTGTCCGGCAAAACCGATAGAAAATTGAAATGTCCGATGCAATTCGCTATAACACCGGTCCGCATGTCCGATTTCTGTGTTAACAATCCAATGTTTTTTTGAGTTTTCGTTGTACTGGTAAAGTTTGTCTTTTTATCGTAATCTCAAAAAATCTTTAGCGAGTTACTTTCTGGCAATGCAGCAAAATAAACAGGGGCAGATTATTCTAATCTACACTACTATGAATAATCTAGAGAGTTCCGAATGTCAACATGGATGCGAGAAAAAAACGTTGAGAAAATTACTTGAATTTTTGTCTTTATATGAGTTATTTTTTAGGATAAAAGACATATACAAGGTTTGTAATGATTAATTAAGTAGTTATTTCCAGTGCAACTCCTGTTAAGTTGTATTCTTCAAACTCATATTGGAGTGGATCTGCTCCTATTTGCTCCATTGCAACTATCAATATATGGGACGTATTCTAACTGTGGTTAGGGCTTGTCTCAAGTCACAGTTAGATTATTCTAATTGTACTCTGATCTATTGCATTGTCTCACAATTGGTGTTGTTACGTTCTGCAGAATCATTTACACACTCAATCTGAGTACTTTCAAGGTCCAGTTAGTTTGCATTGATGTTCTGCAACAATCTGATGTGTACTTTCAGGTGAAATGGACCAGTCCCAACCAGTATCATATTATTTTGAATTACATCATGACTTAAACTAGAATTTATTTGGACTGGTAGAATTTGCTTCGGACTGGTAGAACACGTTAAGTTATCAGTCCAAATGACTGATAGAAATATTTGGTTTTCGGAAACTCTGCTAAGATGTAGGTCTTGGCACCTGCAGATTGCTTGTATAGTTAATGCTAGCAGTCAAAACTTGGGGAGCTATTTGGGCCCAAGTCTTTAACATTGTTTAATGCATCTTACAAATATATTGCAATCAGCTCACCAGTTTCCATATTTGTGTATGTAGAAATTGTTTCATGGAAACAAAGCATATAGGTATATCTTTGATTTAAAGTGCTATTATTTTATTCTGTTCTTTCTGATAGATAAAACAGAAAAATAAGATTAAATTTACCAACCATGTATTAGATATAGGATCTCCCATCGTTTATGATCAGATATGATTTTTATCCAGCAAGTTATTTGTTTTCCATCCCCAAGCCTTTGGCTAAGGGAATAGAAAACATGCACCCAGGTGGATCACGAGAGATTCTTTTTGACATATTTCAACTATATTGTTGTGGGTTTTAACTTTTTTAGCTCATCTGAGCTGAAAGCTCAAGTGAGCTTTTCTGATCACATTTTGTCTGGCGTCCATATAGCTGTCTGTCCGTCTGTAAACTTTTCACATTTTCGACTTCTTCTCAAGAACCACTGGGCCATTTTCCACAAAACATTGCAACAAAGCATCCTTGGGTGAACGGGATTCAAGTTTGTTCAAATGAAGGGTCAGGTCCTCTTTCAAGGAGAGATAATTAAAAATTGGTGAAAATACAGTATCATCTTTTGAAAATCTTCTTCTCAAGAACCATTTGGCCAGAAAAGTGGAAACTTATATGAAACCTTCATTACATAGTGTAGATTCAAATTTGTTCAAATCATGACCCTTGGGGGTAGGGTGGGGCCACAATGGTGGGGGGGGGGGGGGTTCAATGTTTTACATAGGAATATATAGGAAAATGCTTTTAACGATCTTCTTCTCAAGAGCAACAAAGCCATGATTAGTCATATTGATATGGAAGCATCTTCAAATAGTGTTGATTCAAGTTAGTTCAAATCATGTCCCCCTGGGGGTAGGGTGGGGCCACAATGGGCAATCAAATTTTTACATAGGAATTCATAGAAGAAAAAAATTCTTTAAAAATCTTTTTCCCAGGAACAGCAAAGTCATGATTAGTTATATTTATAAAGAAGCATCCTCTGATAGTGTAGAGTCAACTTTGTTCAAATCATGACCCCTTGGGACAGGATGGGGCTACAATGGATGATCAAGTTTTACCTGGGAATATATAGGAAAAAGAATCTGCTGATAAACAAGAAGATTTACTCAGGTGAGCATTGTGGCCCATGGACCTCTTGTGTGGGTGTGTGGTTTTTTTTTTTTTTATAAACCTCATTATCTTGAATCCTCAGATAGCTGGTCCTGTTAAGTTCAAGATAGTAAGGCTTAACTGCATTTTCAACCAACAATGTTTTAAAAAAAAATCCAACTTTTTGTGTGGGATTTTGATATTTTGTGGTTTCTTCTGTGCAGTAATCATGCTAATGCTTGTGGATCTTTAAGTTATGTCATCAAATTAGATAAAAAATTTATAGTAAGAAATTATATAATATTTGAAACTATTAAATTTGGCCTTGCATGCATCCTCTGGGGCACAGAAAGGATTAAGTTAGGAAGTAAAATGTATTTATAAATGAAAATAATTATAATGTGTAACTAATGGCAACTGGATCCATAATTGAAAAGATATTTTTGACAAAACACATAATTTGTAAAATGACAAGTAATATACTAACTTGCTCATGATTAATGTATTATTTAAATTCTTTCATAGCTCACCTTAGTCACTCAGGTCACTATATACCTAATCTGTTTTGTCTGTCGTAGTGTGTTAACTATATTCACATATTCATTTTTTCCTGAACCACTGTGACACTTTCAACCAAACTTGCAACGACATGTATGAAGCAGCCTCAGGTGATTTCATCAACAATATAAAATTACAGTTTTTGGTAATATGAGATATTAGTTTTTCATAATATAACTGTTTGATTGAAATTGCCCATATTATGGAAAACTGTTGTAAGAATATTAAATGAAGTCTTACAACACTCACTTATGTGACATTTTGGCACCAAACTTTTGTTTTAATTGTTTTCAAAGTGCAAAGAGAAAACTCGGCATATATTTCATTTTCATTGACATAGTACTTATTGTCTATACTTCTGAACAAATTTTTTTATGGGATTAGTAATTATTTTCCATTAAAGTTTCAAGGTAACCCAGTTACCTGATTCTGATCTTATGTCCTTTTCCAACCATGTTTTTGGACCACCATGCTTTTATTGTGTAATTTGTGTACTTATGATTACCAAGCTGTGAATCTTCTAAACATTTACACGTAATGCCTATCTCAAGTCTAACATTAAACACAGGATACTCTTGGTATCACCACAGTTACAATATCAATATAGTAAGAGATAATATTGCACATTAGATATAGGGTCTACCCAGAGAGGTGCGTATTTGCAGAAATATGCATTGAATTTTTCAAAATACACATTAGAAATTAAATCAGGGCATACAATTACGCATTAGCAATCATAAATAAGCATTACACTATGAAAGTACTGCGTACGACGGATTGAATGATGCAAGTACGATTTAATTAATTATGTGAATTGAGGTCAGCTTAGTGTTTTAATTTATATTGAAAGGAATTTTTTTTGGCTTTCCACATGCTCCTGTGCTATATATAGTGCCTTGCGACTTTTAATGCAAATGGAGAGTAACTCCAAAACTATCACCTCGATCGATGTCAATATAGCAAAACCTTATATACATTTTTGATTAAAAAACAACAACGGGTGGGACATTTTGAGAGTGGCAGGTTGGGATGAGAATCTAAAGATTAATTTTATCTGGCCAAAGGAGGGATATTTTTCTCGGTAAACTCTTGCTACGATCGATATAGGCCTAATCGTAAATGGAGTTCTGTGTTCTCCTGGTAACTTTGCCTACCGTATGGGCTTTCTGGTCAAAGAAACAAAATGTTTCTCGGTTAAAGCTAAAAGCTGACAAAATTTTTAAAATTTCATTAACCTAATTGATTATGCAGAAACTGTCCGTTTTTTACATTCCTCTTTCAAAAACACTTATTTTGATAACAAGCTAAAAATCACATTAGATGTCAAAAGAGCAATAGATTAACAAAATACTCTGATTATTTAGCTAAAAAGCAAAATCTGCATTGATTTGAAAATCAGGGAGTAAATACACTTTGAGGTAAAAAATTATCTGGAGCTCTGGTCTACCTAAATGGTAAAGTTCATGACCCCTGCTTCCATTATTCAAGTTGAGTATATTCAAGCTTAGTTGGCATATTTATATTAAAAATATTATATAAATGTACACTTATGAAATTCCTCTTCTCTACTAATGGACATCTAGCTGACAAACAGTTTACATGATTATGATGAGCAGCTAGCCCTCTGGAGAACTTAGAAAATTCACTTTTCCCAGTTACTGGGGTCAGGCCTGAGGGTGTTGTTATAATTTTGTGATATTAAAATTTATTACACAGAGTACCTTGTCTTCTTTACTCTTGAACATGTAGGAGACAAGCTGCATTTAAACAATAAAATGCTTTCTTTGGTTGTTAGTACAGGAATTAATGTCGCAGCAGGTAACTGTAAACCAACTTTTATTCGCGTGTGAGAAATATTCGCGAGTTTCACGACCTACTTTAACTCGCGAATATTAATCACCGTGAACCATTTATTTTGCTTAATCGTCATGGATTGATTTCAAACTGAGGAATCGCAAATAAAAGATGACGCAAATATTTATTTAGTTGGTTTACAGTATGTAATTCCTGTACTAACAAAGAAAGAAAGACATTTTATTGTTTATATTTATATCTGCATAAAAAACATTCAAAGTAAAATTAAATATGTTAAATATTGTATTATAGATGTATTTGTTATTGTATGCATAATTGATGGAACAGCTAGCCTTTGCTCAAAAAGTCTATGCAGGTGGCTAGCTTAGTGTCGTTTACTGACTGATGAATGGTAAAGGTTTTCATAAGAAATAAAGGAAATAATATTCAGTGGATCTAAATATAAATATATTAATGCTTAAATATATTAATAATCAAAGAGTCCGCATCAAACTGTAAAATTTTTGTTGCATGAGACCGGAGTTTCTGCAGTTCTGAGTGGAGCCAAAGTGGTCATAAACTGAGAAACGTTATAATACTCAGGTGACCGTAAGTGGAAATGGACGTCTTGTAGAAAAGTGCATGACAATTGAATATTTTTCTTGCATGCTTGGTTTTTCAAATGTGTAAGTTCTTCATACAGTTACCACCCAAGGAAGAGCATTTATATACTAATACGGCAATAACTATGGCTATAAAACTCGCAAATGCTAGTTGTATTTACAGCAAACATTAATGTAAAATTCACAGTGGTTGTATTAATTACTGTTCACAGACAAGGTCTTAATATTGTTCTTGACACAAAGTAATCATGTTGAAAATTGGCCACTACTTTAATGATTAAAATAATGAAATTTCCCAAACATTTTTTAGATAATTATTGAATTTTTACTAAGGGAGGAAACAAAATTGCTAGTGAGTGCATGTATATGTGGAATTAAATCTGGCAGACTGGTGACAGTGATGAGGATGTAAAGAGAATATTGAGGCTTGTCATAAATGGAACTAATAACTTCATACATTTTCAGCTGAATTCATTGACGGAAATGGATTGTTGCTGAAAGGACATTCAAGATGATGGCTTTGCTTTAGTCTTCAGGAGTAAAATTATTAAGAACAAAAAAAGATTGATTTTGCTTGAAAATCACATAATTGAATGAAAATGCTTGTATTGTTATTTGTACCTACTTTATTTCTTTTCTTAAATGGAGGTCTTTCATGTATTTCTCTAATTAAACTGTTGTAGAGAAAACAAGGCTTATTATATTTATGCAGGCCAGAAACAGCTAGGTTGAAAAATTCCTTGGTTATATTATCAGTCAGAAACCATTGGTGGATTTCTCTAGGGTTGTGTCAATATATCAATTAATCAACACGTATCGAATATTCAGGAATGTATCGTATCGAAAAATAACTTCCAATACGTATCGGGCAGGCAGTTTTTCTTATAATTCTGTGAAAAAATTGGGAATTTCTGTCACCAAAGGTTATTTTTAACTGTTTTGAATAAAAAATGATCAATAGTGAAATAAACATTAAGGAGATAGCACATCTTAAATAACTATTACAAAATACATAAACTATATTTTAACATGTTAGTTTTACAATCATTAAAAGTTTGAATTTGAAGTGTACTTTGTAAAGACAGTGAGACATGGACTTCCAATTTGGTAATAAAACACCCAGTTTTTATCAAATCTATGGATTAAAATTAATGATATACAAGACTTTTTTGATTGACTTGTTAAAGAATCCAATATATCGCATATCACTTTATAAAATATCGTATCGTATCAAAATATTTTGCTCAATACACAGCCCTAGCTTTCTCTATTACCAGACTCTATAGCAGCATGTGCTTGGTGTACAACATTGACTTAGCAAAATAGATATATTTTTAAGACACTCATATTTTCGGTTTTTATTTAGGATTTTCAATTTAGAATTTAATGTACAACGTACATAGTGTATTGTCCAGTTTTCCATTACTTTTGTTTCAATCTTTGTGTCAATATAATCTGTATTTTTATAATGTATTCTAAAATTTCATCAGTTATTGAGTTGTCATTACTTTGTTACAGTCTTAAAATATGTACCAAAATGATTCATCAGAAAGTTTATCACAGTAAAGGAAGGATTTTCTTTCAAAAGAATTCCCTATATTTTTAATGAGTCTGTGATGAAACAAACAGTTTGCCATGATTGATACACATTGTTGCATAATTTTAGTCCTGGATAATTCATTAAGTTACTCAATGTCTAGAAATTTAAAGGTTTTCCATCCCTCAGGTTCTGAAAAGCAGCAGTTTGTTAACTGAAAGTAGTAATGAAAAAAGGTCAATGAATTCTGGAAGTACTTTGTGTCTACTGATGCTTTTATTAACAACTTGGAAAGACAGAATTAAAGCACTCCTACATGCACATGCCTGTGTGTGAATTAAATTGTGTCATACAATTTTGTTTGTGAGTAATTTTTCTAATCACTTTTGTCTGTTGCCTGTAAACTTCGACATTTTCTGACCTTTTCTTTAGAACCAAAGGACTAATTTGAACCATGCAAACTTGCCACAAAATATCCTTGGGTGAAGGCAACTCAAAATAGAAGGCCATGCTGTGTTTAAGGGAAGATAATTAAGAAATAGGGAAACCAGGGTTGGGCCTTTTCAAGAACCAATGGACCATAAAAGGCAAAATTTATGTAAAAACTTTTTTAATGAGTACAATTTTAATTTTGTTTAAATAATGGTATCCTGGGGTAGGATGGGGCCAAAATAGGGGATGAAGTTTAACAAAAGAATTACCACAAAAAAAATCTAAAAAATTTCTTCTTCTCACAAACAGCGGGGCCATGATTAGTCATAGTTATATGTATGCAATTCATGAAGTCCACATTCAAGTTTGTTTAAATCATGGCGTAGTGGATAGATTTGGACCACAATAGGGAGTTGAAGTTATTTTTAAATTATATAAAATTTGAAGGACTTGGAAATGTAAAATTCTAAGAGACAAGTTTTTGGTGGAGGAATATTAGGAGATCATACTTGGCTTACAGGTGATTCAGTGAGCAAGAGGTGTATCATGATACCATTATTAGTTTGCATATGGTCATGTTCACCAAACTGAGAAGTTAAATATTCCTTGGACCACAATATTTGCATGCTTTGTGAATGTTCATATTTTTGTATTCAACACAAATGTTGTTCTAAAGCAGAGGTCTGGTACATGTTACAACCTGACCATTATTACATGTCAACAAGAGTCAGGCCATGGGAATCTGCCATAAAATTTTTTAGTGTGTTGGTATAGTTCATTTTAAAACTATTTTTAAGTAAGTCTGGACTTTCTTAAATTGCTGTGCAGGACTATTAGTCCTATTAGCACAGTTCTAGTTCCATTTTCCTTTAACAGGCTTAATATTAAAAAATAAAGATTTCTATGTGTTTTACCATAATTAATGGTTACATACTTAATGATCAAAAGGCGCAACAATGGCTTTGATGCATGTGTGTTAACATGCAAAAGAGAAACAAAAACTAGATCAAAACAGCCATTTTTTGAATGAATTTCAAAAGTCATGCAGACAATTGAAAACTTATGGATGCTTTTTTAAAATTTCAGTCAAGTACAAGTAACAGATGAAGTTCGAGAATATCTACGTAAGCCCACCTTTGATAACTGGCAGTGGGATGATCCTGAAATGATAATCCTACTGCGACAGATGTACATAGACCTTGGTCTAATCTCCAGATTTAACATTGAGGTAAATCCAATTTCACCATATATGTTTTCTATTTAATGTATAATGCAATAATTAATTGCAGAAGTAAATTAAGAATTGTATACATATGGCAGAAATAAAGTATTTAGGGTTGTTAGTTTTCTACATAATCAAGGTTGCTAGGAAGTAGTAGTTTTATTTTTTAGCTCACCTTAAATTAGCCTAATTAAGGTAGAAGTGGGCTTTTCTGATCAAATAGTATCAAGCCTTTTGTATAAATTGGTCTGTCCATCTGACATATGCTATCAGTAAAACTTTTCATAACAATTATAAAGCAATTTTTGGTGAAGGGGGATTCAAGTAAGTTCAAAGAAGGGTGTGCCCCTTCTCAAGGGGAAATAATGAGGAAATGATAAAAATATGATGAGCATATAAATTAAGAACTTTTTCTCAAGGACCACTTTATAAAAGAAACAAAACTTGTGTGACTACTTTTAATAATGTATTTAAGATTTATATTTGCTTTTATTAATCATATCCAACAGGCTAAAGATTAGGCTATGCGTAATTTTTAGGAGGTAGAAGGGTATAGTTTTGCTTTGTAATATAAAGGGAAACACATTTAAAAAATTTTTTTTCCTAAGAACAACATGCCCATCTAGTCATATTGATATATATTATAATTGCAAAATTTTTTCATAACTTTGGAATTGCTAATTGGAATGGATTCAAACTTAAGTATATTGTCCCTAAGCAAAAATTAAAGCACATCTTTTTGTCCCTGCTTTCACTGAAAGTGAGGGATATTAATTTGGGTCTGTCTGTCTGTCCGTCCGTTTGTATTTCTGTCTGTAACACTTTCGTTTCCACGCGATATCTTGAGAACCCTTTGAGCTTTTGCAGTAAAATTTTACATAGCAACTCCCTATGGCCTAAAGAAGAGCCCTATTGATTTTGAGGTCAAAAGGTCTAAGGTCAAGGTCATAAATTAATAAATTCTGTCTGTTTTAACACTTTCGTTTCCATGCGATATCTCGAGAATCCTTTGAGCTTTTGCAATAAAATTTTACATAGCCACTCCCTGTGGCCTAAGGAAGACCCCTATTGATTTTGAGGTCAAAAGGTCAAATATCAAGGTTGTAAATTCATACATTCCGTCTGTGTGTAACACTTTCTTTTCCGGGCGATATCTCAAGAAGCTTTTGAGCTTTTGCAATGAAATTTTATACCATAACTCCCTTTGATGTCTCTCACCCCTCTCAATGTGTTCAACATCCACCCCCCACCCCCCGAACTGCGCATGCTCTTCTTTTTTCCATAAGCGGGGGACACAAATTCTCTGAATTAACTTGCTTTTGATTTAAGTGAAAGGAGATGCAGTCGAATCTTGTTATTTCGAACTCGATAGGACCGAGAAAAAACTTCGAGATATCCGATGATTTGAGATATCGAGGGTAAAATACTTAAAGAAGAAGTGGTTGGGACTTCCAAATCACTTCGACATATCCATGGTATTCGAGATATCGGTGTTCGAGATACCGAAGTTCAACTGTACTTACTCCTCCATGGCACCTGATCTCACCTCTGGTGTTTGAAGTATATATTTGCTCTGCTCCCAGTTTGTATTGTTACTTTTGGGCTCGATTACTGTTCATTAATTTCATATTTCATTCGTATAATGGTTTCAGACTCATGCAGTCTCATTGTAATGGTCATGGGTAGAATTGGGAAAGTGTAAGGCCTTCAACCTTCTCATTTTCCTGTGAGCATTTGATTAAAAGTCATAACATGGGCAGTAAACATCAATAGCAACATACCCAGTACTCAATTTTGAAATCATTCCAATGAAGGGTTGTAAAGTTATGGTCAGTACACAACTTCCTATATCTTTTTGTCATAAACCAGAGAGATTACCATTTGCAATGTATACATATGCTTCCTTTGACCGCATGTGTCTAATGATTCATTATTCTATCCTTGTCAAGTCTTATTGGAAGACTGAACAGCTGAGATTTATAGGCAAAACTCTTTGATCTTGTCTATTAAACACATGATCTCTTTAGACCTGCGTTGTCTCATAATTTGATGCTTAGTTAATGAATCTAATGACCTTAGAAATTCGAACAGGGATTGATTTTTCCCTGTTCTCCAAAGCAAGCAAAAGTAATTGTATGCTTTTTATGCTGAAGTAATGCTATGTTTAACGTTTGAATATAAAAGTCATATTGGCATATATGAGAACACTAAAGTAACTCCTTTGTCAAAGTGATGTAAATCTCCCTACACAGTAGGGCACACTGGGATTTTAATATGCATACTTTAATATTGGTTGCAAGACCACTTTTTAGTTAACCTGAGCTCAAGTGAACTTTTCTGAACATCCGTTGTCCTTCCATCTTCATCTTCATCCGTCTGTAAAATACCGAAATTTATGAAAATGTACCTGTCCACGAATTTGTTTATATATATAAGAATTAAAATCTAAACACTCAACTTTAATACACGAAATAGAATAAAAAACCTGTTGAAAAACCATATTTAATCATTGTTTTGCATGAATTATTATAAATATGTGCACTTTGTTAGGCTAACGTATCAAAATCAAGAAAATATGCTTCACAGGTCAATTTTGGTCATTTTTTAATATTTTTATATACCTATTGTTCCTAAAATTTATTTTGTTTTACATTAAAATAAAAAAGGGGGGAGAACACTTGTCAATAAATTAGAGACAATGAATCAGAACATGATCAACTGATTTGGTTAAAGAAAGTAAGTGTGCTGCAAGTGAATCAACTATTTTCATATACTACTATTCTAAAGGTAATTTTGCATTGTCACAGTGATTAAATGCGATGGGTTTGGGGGGGGGGGGGGGGGTTGCGTCTTACATGATAATTATTATTCAAGATAAATATTGCAATGTTTGAAATAATAAAATCATAGCAACTCCTTCCTTTACTATCAGTGTTAGCTTCAACTTGTCTGCCGACAATAGTCTGTCTGTCACATCGATTTGATACATGTATGCATATTCTTGGTCCATGTTATCGGCATATTCTCATCCACAGAAATGTTGCTTATATTTTATCTTTATTACCTAATCGTCTCTCTGTCAACCAAAAGTTATTTCCAACCTTCCCTTTTTAATCAATTTCTCCTTAAACTGTATAAGCTATGTTTGTAAGTTTGTTGACGCGACTGACTTAGAGCAAAATCGTTACCGGATATTTAAAATGCCAAGTAAAAGTCAAACCAATATAGTTCAAAAATCACATCTTGGTAATAAGAAGTGTGGTTCCGGTTTTACTATTTGTTGGTGACGTAGTGCGAGTATTGGTCTACTTGAAGGTGTCACATGCCTAACTGCAGCTACCAAATTATAAATTTCTGGTGTGCAATTTTTAACACCAGGAAAACTTAAGTTCTATATAGAAACCCTAATTACTGCTTGCATACACAATATGGCTTGATTATCTTGTGAATTTCATCCACAGTAGGAGTTTTTTATTTTTAATGTGTTTCAAGAAATAATACATAGTTCATTGCACATGAAACCTGAGAAGTTGTTATCAGTTTTTTTTATACTCTTCTTTGCTCATCCTTGACTTCTATCTGCCAATATAATTTGGGATACAAAGTGAGTGGTGGAGTCAGGTAAGTACCAGGTAAATCTAGCCAAACCATCATATTTATTAAGAAAATCAGCATAAATATAAATGTGGAGATTTTAACAATTTCGGAAGGGGGGATTTATGAAAGATATTTTTTCAATTTTATTTTGGGGATGTGGGTGGTATCACTATTACTTTTATAAATTTGGGCGTTAATGTGTGTCTATGTTTTTTTTTTCTCCACCTACCAACCCAATTTTTTTTTGGGGGGGGGGGGGAATCTTGAAAAATCTTGAAAAACAACTATTCAACTAATAAAATAGTGTCCTAACAATATAATATTCATGAAAAAAATATACCCATATTTACATGTACATATACTGTTTTAAAACATGTCAGCTTTGAAAACTGAGGAAGCTAAACTCCGTGTGGAGGGAGAAAATAAAAACAGCAACCAAAAAAGAATTGTTTAATATTGTTTTTTTTTGTTTTTTTTTTTTTTGCAATACTATGTTTTGTTTCTTGCAGATGAATGTGTTACATCAGTGGCTGTATGAGATATACAAAAATTATAATCAAGTGCCTTTTCACAATTTCAAACACTGTTTCATGGTTGCCCAAATGGTAAGTGAAATAGTATTGTTTGTAGGTTATTCATGCAGGTTATTTCTTTAGTCAAGAAGCACAGAGTAGAAAAGGAAAATCAAGTCATCTAAATTGGGTTTAAAATTAATGAAAGACATATGCAATGTAGTTTTGAACTTTATTTTCTTATTCCCAGTACATGTATACGTATTTTAAGATTAATTCCAATAATTGAAGAACCCTTGACTTTTAGAGATGGGAGGATATATCCAGATATTGATAATATCGATTCTGTGTGAGGATGATACGCAAATATTATTCTTAGACTATATATATGTAAAAATATTGAAATATCGTAAAAAAAAAAAAATTCTGACTATTTTTTCTTTGTTTGCTTAACATTTTGAGTTCAATATTTAAAATAAATATGCTAATTTTAAATATAAATATGAAATACATAATAATTAACACCACCTTTGTGAAATAATTTTTTTTTACAACAGATATACAACTTCTATGAATAAATTGTTCTTTCTTGCAAAAAAATAATTATGTTGTCCACTTCAATACAAAAAGAAGATTTTTTACATAATTCATAATATTGTGATGCATATAGTATATCGTGGCTCAAATATTATGATACATATCAATATAGAAAATTTTGTATCGCCCCAGCCCTATTGACTATGTGTGATTTTATGATCCCTGGTAATGGTGTACACTTCATCTGATTCAAAGTTTGAAGAAATATTAGTTCAATCTATATTTTTGTATGCTTGTCTTAAGATTATTATGGTTATGGCATTCACATCTACCCATCTGTCTGTTAGCTTTTTTGTGTCTGCCTCATAACTTAAATACTATGAGGCCTAGAATAATCAAACTTTGTCAGCTGATACATCTTGGGTGCAATTAATCTGCAGTAATAGCCAAGTAACTCAGACCTTGGGTTTATCTTCCTTTTTATGCATTAACTATCGACTGTGGAATCATTTTAATTTGTTTAGGTCAATGTTCATGACAGGCAAAATTTTACTTGTTTGTTCTGGGTTGCTCATTTATACAGTAGATTCAATGAATCAATATGTTTACAAAATAAACATTTGTGGGAATGTAAATTTGTGGCTAAGGGTAACCCACGAAATCCAGGAACATTGGTCCAGCACTAACAATGATGATTTCAGTATTCGAATTAATACTTGAATGATTTTAATTTGTAGATGTATGGTTTGACCTGGCTTATTGACCTCAGATCGGTGCTAGACGATGTTGATATTTTTATACTCCTCACCTCTGCAATATGTCATGACTTGGACCATCCAGGGTACAACAATGCATATCAAGTAAGCCCATCCAGTTTTAAAAAAAAAAATAATCTGTAACACTGCATGGAAATAAACAGGTGGAAAGTCGTGAGTCTGTTACGATTGTTAAAGTATCATGTGCATGAAAGTGAACTGATAGTTGAAGAAAACATGATGATGAAGCCATCCAATATATTTGACCAAGTAACTAAATGATAGACATTTGATGAATACTAAATTTATAGATATGGGTTTAGCTCCACTGGGAAAAGAGGCCTTAGACAAAGTCTCTGTGATTAGATGGAAATGCTCTTTTATTTGATAAAGAGAAATTTTGTATTGATTTAAAGTCGCACAAGAATTTCCTTCATTTTCAGTTTGGGGATTGTGGTGTGCAAAAAAATTACTTTTTCTGTAGAAAATTCTGAATATTACATTAAAGAAGGTCTAAATTAAGCTCTTTTAATTGAAAGATTCTCTGCTTATGCACTCTATGAAACTTAGGTTGAAAGGCTGTAGGAAAAAGAAAAAGCAGGAGGAAACCAGAAGTCTCTGTCTAGACTGTAGCTCTACTGGTTTATACTAATAACAAAGGAAGAGAAAAGGAGCACTTGGACTTGAAACTTTGCAACAGCAATAAATAGAATAATGATCCTTGATTTCATTTCTTTTTGAGGCAAGATTGCAATCAGACTAAAACTGTAGGAGGAGTAGCCTTTTAAAAGAATTTTACAGAAATTTTGATTTTAGTCCCCATGGCAACATCAGTAATCAAAATCAAAAAATAATAAAGACATGTATCTACTTGCATGCCAGGCTGTATTAAAATCAGACCAAACTATAGGAGGAGTAGCGTTTTGAAAGTATTTCACAGAAATTTCTATTTTTAGTAACCATGGCAAAACCGTTTATCAAAATGAAAAACTGATGCACAGAATTATGTTTCTTAGTGTAGTCTACTTGTGTGCAAAGATATATTGAAATCTGAAAAAAAAACTGTAGGAGGAGTAGCATTTTGAAAGTATTTCACAGAAATTTCTACTTTTTAGTAACCATGGCAACACCGTTCATCAAAATCAAAAACTGGTAAACAGAATTATGTATCTTAGTGTAGACTAATTGTGTGCAAAGTTATACTGAAATTGACCAAAACTGTAGGAGGAGTAGCATTTGGAAAGTATTTCACAGAAATTTGTATTTTTAGTAACCATGGCAACACTGTTCATTAAAATCAAAAACCGATACACAGCATTATGTATCTTAGTGTAGTCTACTTTTATGCCAAGATATATTGAAATCAGACCAAAACTGTAGGAAGAGTAGCATTTTGAAAAATTGTTTACAGACAGACAGACAGACACACAGACGGATGGACAGACAGACGGACGACGGACACCTTACTATCACACAAGCTCTTCTGGTCTCTGACCAGTAGACCTAAAAATGGTATTGTTATCTTTTTGAGCTTTAGGCTAGTGTTCTTTTATTTGGTCCAGTTGAAAATAACATTGAATTTGCATTTAAGAAAATTAATGTACTAATATTGTTTACAGTGCATTTCAATGAATTGCAGAATCATGTTTTTGTTTTTCATTTATTAATGTGTTTTTTTTTCTTTTTTGTCAGATAAATGCTAGGACTGAGTTGGCTCTACGATACAATGACATTTCTCCCCTAGAGAATCATCACTGCCATGTAGCTTTTGAGGTACTGCAGAAAAGTCATTGTAATATACTACGCAATGTCTCCAAAGAAGAATACAAACGTATACGAGAGGGAATGATCCGGTAAATCTTTTATCCAAATTGATATTGGAAAAACAGTGTGTTAATTGTTCTGAGGGATTAAGCAATTACATTGGGTCATTTAATTGTTATACCCCCGCTCCGAAGGAGAGGGGGGTATACTGTTTTACCCTTGTGTGTCTGTCTGTCTGTCTGTCTGTCCGTCTGTCTGTCTGTCTGTCTGTCTGTCCGTAACAAACTTTGGTCGCAGTTTTCTCAGCAACTACTCATCACAGGTGCTTGAAATTTTAACACACTCTTTGTTTAGGCATGCCATATGGTGGGATTCATTTTTGTACGAATTCGATGTCAACTTCCTGTTTATCCGTGCGTTTATCCGTACCATACATAAAAAAATTTGGTCGTAGTTTTCTCAGCAACTACTCATCGCAGATGCTTGAATTTTTAGCACAATCTTTGTTTAGGCATGCCATATGGTGGGATTCATTTTTGTATGAATCCCATGTCAACTTCCTGTTTATCCGTGCGTCTGTCCGTATCACACATAACAAACTTTGGTCGCAGTTTTCTCAGCAACTACTCATCACAGGTGCTTGAAATTTTAACACACTCTTTGTTAAGGCATGCCATATGGTGGGATTCATTTTTGTATGAATCCGATGTCAACTTCCTGTTTATCCGTGCATCTGTCCGTACCACACATAACAAACTTTGGTCACAGTTTTCTCAGCAACTACTCATCATAGGTGCTTGAAATTTTAACACACTCTTTGTTTAGGCATGCCATATGGTGGGATTCATTTTTGTACGAATCCGATGTCAACTTCCTGTTTATCCATGCGTCTGTCCGTACCATACATAACAAATTTTGGTCGTAGTTTTCTCAGCAACTACTCATTGCAGATGCTTGAAATTTTAGCACAATCTTTGTTTAGGCATGCCATATAATAGGATTCATTTTTGGAACAAATCCGATGTCAACTTCCTGTTTATCCGTGCATCTGTCCGTACCATACATAATAAATTTTGGTCGTAGTTTTCTCAGCAACTACTCATCGCAGATGCTTGAAATTTTTTCTTTGTTTAGGCATGCCATATGTTGGGATTCAGTTTTTACAAATCCGATGTCAATTTCCTGATTATCACTGTGTTTGTCCATAACTGAACTTGTGTATTCACATCAGAGCGGGGGTATTATTAGTGAGCATTGGCTCACAGACTAATTGTTTTTTCTTCATGTTTTGAAGTCAATCAGTTGTCTGCTGTTCTCTGCAGTAGTGTTTGCTTTTTGGGTTGTAGCATATTATCCTTAAACACCTGATGAATATTTGAATATTTTACTTTTCCTAAAACTTTGAAATTAATTTCATCTAAATTTGGTATATAGTTTAGCATTTTAATGTTGAGGGGAAAAGAATTCTGAATTTTGTGGTTTGATCAAGTCAAAGGGAGTATGTATTAATGTTTTTGTTAATCAATTGACTTTCAAGGCCTCTTGGCCTCTTATTACACCCCCTGCAAATAAAGTTGTGGGGCATATAGAAATCACCATGTCTGTATGTGTATCTGTGCAATTGTGCCAGGCCATAACTTTGTAATAGAGAACTTTAGAAACTCGTTCTTGACACAAAGATTGCCTATGGCCTGTAGGTGTCTCATGACTTTGACCCATGGTCATTCTGACAAGTTCAAGGTTACTGACAATAAAATTGTAGTCCAGTCCATAACTTTCTAATCGAGTACATGGAGAATTCATACTTCATACAAAGATTGTTTATGACCTAAAGGTGTGGGTCATGATCTTGTCCCAAAATCTTTTGGTGAAGTTTAATGTCGCTTTTAGATAAAATATAATTATTATCCAAATCATATCTTGTAATGGAGAAACATTGGAAGCTCAAACATTGCTTATGACCATAGGGTGTCCCATGATTTTGACCAAAGGTCATTTTGGCAAGTTCAAGGTCACAGAGAGAAAAAAAATATAATTCACTCTCTAATGGCAAAAAATTGGAAGTTTATACTTGACACAAAGGTTGCTTATGACCCAAGGTGTGTTAGGATCTTGACCCAAGGTTGTTTTGGCAAGTTCAAGGTCACTGGCAGAAAATTATTCATTCTGGTTCCATAACTTTCTAATGGAGAAACATTGGTAGTTCATACACCACACAAAGATTAATTATGACCAGAGAATATGTTATTTTCTTTTACCAAGGTAATTCTAACAAGTCTAGGGTCATTTTTAGAAAAATGCACTTGGGCACTAAAAAAATACAGCAAGGGTATAATTTTGAGAGTTCACTTACTTTGATGGTTAAACAATATATGTTTTATATTGTTCTTTCTCTTTTCAGATGTATTTTGGCAACAGATATGGCCAAGCATAATGAAATACTCAATAATTTTAAATCTGTCATAAAAAACTTCGATTTCAAAAATCAGGAACACAAGTCTCTGGTACGTATTGAGTCATTTTATTTTTAAAGTATGCACAGACCTAGGGCATTTGATGTCTGAAAAATAAGTTTTCAAAATATCAATTTATAATAGTATTATGGGGATAAATTCAAGGGTACAATTTGTCTTACCTCTGTCCATCTAGCTGATGATGATACTCATGAAGGTGGCTGACATTTCAAATGAGGCACGGCCTTTAGGAGTTGCAGAACCCTGGCTGGATTGTTTACTTTCAGAATTTTTTAATCAGGTTGGGGGAAGTACCTGTGTTTGTGTAGTATTGATAGTGTGTTTTCCTGTATCATTCTTTAACTAAGAATCAGATATAAAGTAAAAGTTTGAATTCATGATAGCTTACTGAGCATTTTTAATTTGTTATCCTTCACATTTTGCTGCTTCATAATTATGTAAAAAATAGATATGTCTATAATTAACATAATTTATACAACTGTGTTTGCAAAATTCAAATTCTCAGTATGTCTTTCATTGGTATTGAAAATGTTAATTCATAATACCATCAAATCAAATATGACCCTTAAATTCTGATTCTTGGTGTGAGAAATGGGATTTCTGTGTTTATTACTTGTTTTTCTTTTTACATTTTTGTTGGGTTCTTTTTAATTAGTCTTTCCATCTTATGAGGACAGATGTTATATAAGTACCACATTCCAACCAGGTTTTAAGGTGTTGCTGTTCCAATGATTGCAGCAATTAATAGTTGTGATGCATTTTACTCTTTTAATCTTAACTCTCTGTGTCACAGTTCATAACACAGAGATTAGCTGGGACAAGTACACACTGTATACACATATTTCATTTGGCTGTGTATTTTATTTAGTGCCTATCAACAGAAAGCAGCATCTGCTAAATCAAGTGCATTTGCTGAATGTCATGAATTTCTAAATATGAATGTTTACACCCAGAAATGAGCTAAATCACATCAACAGTTACTTGAAAGTCAACTCCCACCAAATATCATAAACACTAGATAAAT